CGTTTTCTATTATTTACTTTTTTCGCATTCTGCTTAAGTGCCATATAATTGAATGAAAACATTTAACTAAAGTTAATCTTAAATCAAGCTCCTTTGAGGTTAAGCCGCCACTTGGTTAATTAAGATGGAGGCCGGACAAGATTTGTTTTTGTTTTTTTGATGTTGGATAAATATTTAATGTTAAATAAGAATTTTGCTTTGATAAAATAAAGAAAGGCTTAGTAGTGATTATTGGTCGGCTTGAGTTGGTAATATATATGTATTCTGGATTTGGCATCTACTCTTAAAGTCCGCTCATCTTAACTCTTTAATTGCTGGAAAAGCACAGATGCTTCACTACCCACCCAGGTATCTCGACACCACACCTTGATCAGTAATCACAATACAAGAGCTGCTCTCACCCTCTCAGTGCCTCTTAATATCAACGACAAACTATTCTTAACGATTTTCAGCTCTACATTGCCAGCTTTAACTCAGCGAAAGTTAGTTTTATTTATCATTTGGTGCCAAAGCATCTATGCTAAGAGTTAAGGAGCATCTTTGTAAGCTGCGAAAACCGTATCTGCTGGGATGCTACCGAAGGGATCACCCCAACAAATACTCACTTGAAGCCGAACTAACACCTAAGCTCATCGGGGAGAGAGTACTTCACTACTTGGACTGTTGACTGACAGTACGGCTATTCGACTTTCTATGAAACCAATTTACCGAGAGTCCAACAACACCCTCTTGAACTCGCTACGAGTGAACGCTCTTCGCGGAGTCAGACCACCACCACACCTCGAGCTGCCTCGAGAGTACCGCATAATACTGGCACAATTAAAGTCTAAATTCCTACCTACTCAGACTTGACCACCATATACCTATCGTATGTCCGGCATGTAATGAGACCTCGCATGGCACTAACTATTTGCAAATCTGTTCTTCAAGCTCCGCGGTCTCTCTGGTCCGAACAGGTCAAAACAGCTAGTTCCCGGAACCCCCCTTGAGATGACCTAATGATTAATTAAAACCTGTTTTGTCGGCTCCCAAGCGGGATTTGACTTGACGCTACAACAACAGTAATGAGTACATGATACGTGACTTCTGCAGTTTGGCTTTGTTAGTTCAGATGGAGATCTCCTCTGAGGTCAATTAATGTGTGTTTTTATAGTAGATCGGACATTACGGATTGGGAAAATTTATTGAAAGAGATCCTAAATAATGCTAATTCAACTTTTGGTGTCGTTCGAGGAGGTGGTTAAGATTTTAAATACAATAAGGAACAGCCTTTTCCATTATAATTGCTGGAGATGTCCTGGTTTCTTATGCAGACCTTTACTGCCATACATTTCACAATCATAGCCATTTAGTAGTGAAGTGAAGAGCGAACTCCGTACCTCCTCTCATCTACAAATACCTCACATGTATGTATCACACTGGCTAACTTTTGTCCCCCTGCCCCAACAATATTTGCTCAGTTTCAATTGATTACCTGTATTTAAGAACTTGGCAAAATGTATGTATGAACTTCCCTTTTTACTTCTGGCCAACGGCATCAGCTAGAATTTAAATTGCAAAAGTGATTTACAATGCGCCAGTCAGCAAAGTTTGCACAAAACTCAGATCCGCAGCAGCTAAAGAAGTTTTGCGTAGCATTTCCAGCAACTTTACTCGCTGACTATCATTTGCGCAGCGTGTACAGAACAATATAAGCGCATACATACATACATAGTCGAATGAAGTGCAATAAAATGCCCTACAAGCGTGAATATTTTTTTTCTCAATGTGAGTATTTTAAGTTTGTGTTTGTTGCTGTGGCTGAGATGATTGCTCTTACCTGTCGGCAGTGTCGGCGACGATGATGTTGAAAGCAATTGAGAATTTTCTTTCGCCATTTTATTTTGGTGCTTTCTTAATTCTTCAAAATTTTGCTTTGATATGCATACTGCTGCTTTTTATTTTGGCTTTAATTTAATTTCTTTTTATTTAATTTTGTTGGCTCGGTTTTATTTTTATTATTATTATTTTTTAACTATTGAGTAATTTTTTAACACTTTTTAATGTTGCCAACATATTTTGATGGCTGAAAATAGATGTAATAAATATATATAAATATATACAGTTGTGTTCGGAAAAATAGCAGCAGACTTGAGAAACTCAGCCTATTATAGTTTTAGTTTTTTTTTATGGAAAAATAAAGACAACTTAAAGTACACTTGAACACATAATGGTGTTATATGCGAGTATTGTCATTATGTATTAAATTTACAAAGAGAAAAAGAAAGTTCTGATTGTTCCCAAAAATAGCAGCATTTCAAACATATGTTAAAGACTCAAAATATAATTTTTATATTTATTATAAAGTTAATATTTAGTTGCCACAATTTTTTATTACTGCAAAGCATTTATTTTGCATGGAGTCGACTAAGCTACGAAACCTTTCGACTGGTTTTGTATACCAAGCCATACGTATTTTCTCTCACTAATCACCCCACATATTCTCAATAGGGTTGAAAGCCTGTTCTTACTTCGATATGGTTTTGTTGGAACCACAACTTTGCCCGCTTGCTGGTATACTTCGGGTCATTATCCTGCTTATAAATCCATTTTAATAGGATATAGTCCTCAGCATATAACGGCAGAGTACTCTTAAAAATTATATGGAAATGTAAATGTGTATTATATTTGTTTGTTATTTCATTTTATTTGGTATTATTTTAATCAGTTTTATCACTTTTTTTAATATATTAATTTAACAAAGTAAGGTAAAATAATAGAAAGTAATTTTAAATTTTTTTATTTTTTTATTATAATTTTTATTTTATTTTACTTTATTTATTTAGTTTAATTTTTCATTATATTTTATTTTATTCTATTTTATTTCGGGGTATTTTACTTTATTTTTTTTATTTTATTCAATTTTATTTTATTTCTTTAATTGTTTGCTTGTTTATTTTTTTATTCCTTTTCTTTTCTAATATTTTGCTTTTTTTAGTTTATATGATTTTATTTATTTTATATTTAGTTATTTAATTAATTCAATTTAATGCAAATTTACTTAAGTTCATTTTTAAATTTTTTAAATTAAATTATTTATTTTTTATATTATATTATTTTATATCATTTTAGTTAATTTATTTTAACTTTATTTAATTTATTTTATGTTATTCTGTTTTATATTTTTCTTTAATTCTGTATAATTTGTTATTTTTTATCTATAATTGATTTTCTTCTATTATATTTTATTTTTTTATTTTAATTTTGTTTTTCACTTATTTTATTTAATTTAACGTAAATTTACTTCATATTATTTTAATTTATAATATTTTAATTTATTTTAGGTAATTTTACTACTTTTTTATTTTTACATATTATTTAATTCTCTTTTATATAATTTTGTTTCACTTTTTGTTCACTTTTTTATTTTAATTTTTTTTTTGTTTAATGAAAATGTAAGCTTGTTTTTTATTGAATTCTTTACTTTTATTTTTGAATATTATTTTATTTTATATAATTTTAATTTATTTAAATCAATTTAATTTGTAATTACTTTTTTACGATTTCATTTTTATTTTTTAATATAATTTAATTTAAATTTACTTGGGTTTTTTTATTTTATTTTATTTTTAATACTATTTTATTTTATGTCATTTTTTCAATATATTTATATTAAGTTTATTTAAATTGTATTATATAATTTTTTATTTTTCATTTTTAAATTATTTTATTTTATTATGTTTTATTTTTTATTTATTTTAATTTTCATCCACTTATTTTATTTATTTATTATATTTTAATCTTTTTAGTTTAATTTAATGTAAATTTCCTTAAATTTATTTTTTTTCATTTTACTTTGTATTTTGTTTTTTAATATTATTTTATATCATTTTTTTTATTTAATTTATTTTGACTATATTTATTTTTTTATGTTATTTTGTTCTAATTATTTTTCCTTTATATAATTGTTTATTTCTTGGTTTTAATTTATTTTCTTTTATTATAATTTATTTTATTTAATTTTTTTTTATTATAATGTTGTTTCACTTATTAAATTTTGTTTATTTATTTTGTTTTATTTTATGCAATTTTACTTTATTTTATGTATTTGTATTTTATTTTATTTTATTTAAAGAGCTTATTCAAACTTGGTCAAGATGTACCAAAAATGACTGTGTTATAACAGACTATAAATTTTGCCCGATCTGTGGATTTAATATATACATCAACAGACGTAGTCTTCTGTATATAAAACATATATAAGAGATAGTGGATCCCGTACTAAAACTAATAATTTATAGTATAACCACAGAAACGTGCAGAATTAGGTTGAATACGTTATTTTTTTCCTAATATAATAAAAAATAACTTCTGAAAATTTCACAAAATTTCGTGGATTATGTATCATTTTAGGACACTTTTGGTAAAAATATAGTCAACATGCATTCTTATGCTCGCCAGTGTAAGCAAATCTAATAAAGTGTACCAATGTTTTCTTCGTCCCCTGCTACCAGCGGCGCCTCATTTATCTCCTTGTTTTACAACGTTGTTATGTCTCCGATATTTAATATTTATATATAATTTTTAAAATTCCTGTTATCCTTGCTTGTGCTGTAAGCAACTACATTTAGTGGTTACTTTTCAAAAAATACGCTACACCTGTTAAATCTTAAGACTGTCACTAAGTCGGCACGCAGCCGCATTAGCGAAGCTTAACTCTTACGACGCTCACTTTTAATGATACCGGATTAGTGCTGCTGTGGGCAACGAAATATAAGTGCCACTATCTCTTCCTTTCTTTCACCTTTGTGCAGCATTTTTTGATATTTTTTCTAGTTCTTTCTCCTCATTTCCTATTACCTTTTACTCTTTTAAGTAAATAACTCATTAATATTTAACTGTGCAGAAGAATTGAAACTTTACCTTGCTATTTGGTAGCTCTCTTTTTTTGATTATTTCATAATTATGATTTCTTATTTACTTTGTTTTCACTAGTTTTCTCTTTGCCCACTTTTTTACAGGTTTGGCGGCATCCTTGGCGACGTTCATATCATAAACGAAGGAAGGCTCAGTGGGAAACAGATTCCAATTACTGCTCCATTGTAAGTAGAGAAAGCGTTGCGGCCTTTGAATTTTTTCTGTAAATAGAAGAAGCGAAAAAGTGACTTTCTTAAGTCTCTGGTAAAGTCTTATTTGGTAATTATTTATTATTTTCGAAGCAATTACGCAGGAAAAGACGAAATGGGTTTCGCTGAAAGTTTTTAGTCAAAGTTAATTTCGTTTCTTTTGCCAAGCTGCTATTGGTTAATAAAAATGTGCAAAAGAGAAAATTGAAATTACTTTTAAACTTTCAGAAAGTGATGTTCATAGTGCTTTAGCGAATTTTTTTGTTTTTTGTTTGGCAATTATGGGTCAAAGAAATATGTTTTTAGTGGTTCCTTGCTGAAAGATTGATAACCTATCAAAGCTTTAATACAAAGTCATTGTAAAATATTTAAGAAGAAGAGAATATTTGTGACTTTCTTTCTTCAGAAATTGTCAACTCTTTTGACATAAAAATCCAGTTGCCATATAAATAACACTTTTATAATTCGATCTTCACTTCACGAATGATTTCAAGCTGGCTTTTCCGCATAGAAACCGATGGGACAGGGTTATTCCGAGCTATACAAACTCGATCTATATACTTTTGTACGGAGGGAATAAAACTGAACCATAGAGACGGGTAAGAAAATTAGTCATAGGAACTGGGGATTAGAAAGTCCTTTCGTCACAAATTGGGTTAGAAGCTAGCGGGTGGAAGCTAATAAGATGATGATGATGTTGTTGTTGTTGTAACCGCAAAAATTTTCCCCAAAGTACTTTTTGGGGAGTATTGGGAGAAGCGACAGTCCTTGGCCGGATAAAAATCTAGTGTCTTTGCGGTAAAAAGATCCGACTGTCGCGGGAACTACTGGATTTTAGTCGCCCCTTACGACAGGCATGCCTTACCGCGGGTAAATTATTGAACCCTTAACCCGCAGGGGTCTAATATGACGCTCAATGGTATCGCTTTGAGGACCTCTGTGAGCGGATGTCAGCCTTACCTACCCTTACCTAATTCTATGCATACTTTTAGTTAGGAATACCATCAAGAGTCTGAGCAGGCTTCTCGTTCAAAATTTTCGTTTGCCGCTAGTGAAGAAATTTAATATTTTTTTCGTTTTTTTCTACAAGGTCCGTGAAATACCGCCCTATGATGAAGGTCGACGTCTTCTAGACTTAATGGATATGGCAATTTTTGATTTCCTCACTGGAAATATGGATCGACATCATTATGAGACGTTCAAGTAAGTATTTAATTTTATTGACATTGACATTTACATATAAACATGTTGATCAATTTTACTTATTTTAATTTAATTTAAAAAAAGTTTTCACATTTTTTTTTCTCTTAACAAACCACAAAATAAAAATATAAAAAAATTATTTTTAAATCAGTTAATTTCATATTTAGTTTACATTGTTATTTAAGAAGCTTAATTATGTCAATTAAACAGTACTTTTTGCCCTTCTAATTTCGTTCTCAAGAGAGGGTTGAGGAGCACTTGAAAGACATTTACATATAAGAGGCAGCCACAACTCATAACATTGACGCTGATTATTTTTAACAGTCTTCGAACTCATCTACTGAAACTGATCTTAATGTCTTTTTTCTAACCACACTATCCGCTTTTCATCAGAATAGTTCACTCTTAGTGTGGCATATGCACTGGGTTTAAAACCAATCAATTCCATAACGTCAGTCGGTGAGCAGACTGGTGTTACTCAGATGTCACAATAATTTTAATTAACTTTTAATGAGCTCCAGTGGTGGTTGGTATACGCGAAGTGACACTTTGCACGCGCCTCTGCTGCCACAGCTGCCCAACTTGCTATAAGTTGAAGAAAGGAGTAAAAGAAAAAAATCAGAGAAAGTTTTTAAGTTTTGTGTTATATACATTTGCTCTGGTAATGTATGCATGTGTTAGTGTTGGTAAAAGTACAAGCGAGTGGCCATAAATTCAATTAGAATCCTCTGCTCTGACAACACACAAAGTGTCACGCAAAGTGTCGTTACTTGCCATCGCTTTGCGGTGTGCCTCTTCTCACAGCTTTTCATTGCCTTTTCGCTTATTAGAAGTTACGCGGACTTGTCCATTTGCTGTGCAATTAAAACTGTTAAAAATCGTATCTTCCGCTTCGTTCATTCTCTCCGACTTCCGTTTCGATAATTTGATGCGTTTTAATTGCAGTCTACCGAGCAGCTGAGCTGCAGAGTTTTTGCGCATTTGTGCCGTGATCTTTTGTGAATCCTTATTAATTTTTTCAGCAGTTCTGTAACCAAGCAAAGGAAGCTTCGGTACTCGCAGTTATTTTTTTCTGCGCCAAGTTTTCGTAAGTTGACTTTTACTTTTTAAGAAGCGAGGATGTGTAAGCTTTTGTGCATGCACGTATATTGGAAACTTGTGAGTTTTCGAATAGTTTCGGTAGCAGTAAATAAATGTTTGTGGCTGTTCAAGAATGGAAATTTACGCGGCGGTTAAGTGACAGTCCAGAATGATAAGTTAGAATATGCCAGTTGCTGAACTAATTTCGTTTTTTGACCACTCTTAACAAAGTTGGACACTGAAGAGGAAAATGCTGTCGAATATTAAAATAATTTTGGTAATGAAAAAGTAAATAAATTAATAACAGAAAATAAAATAAAATAAAATAAAATAAAATCAAATAAAATAAAATAAAATAAAATAAAATAAAATAAAATAAAATAAAATAAAATAAAATAAAATAAAATAAAATAAAATAAAGTAAAATAAAATCAAATAAAATAAAATATAATAAAATAAATGAAATAAAATAAACAAAACGAAATGAAGTTAGAATAAACCAATTAAAATACCAAAAACACCAAAAACATTGACAATTTAAACAAACTGAAATAAGAATATAAAAGTAGCTTAACTTATATCTTTTGAGTATTAGTTTTCATTATATAGACCAAAATATGCACGAATTCTGTATATGTTTCTCGTCTATCCTAGCACAAATACGGTTGTCAGCCATGAACTCTACAAGTGCGTGGCAACTAATCCATAGCTCATAACATTATCATCATCCGCTTATTAAATTCCCATGCAAATGTAGCAGCCTTCTATGCATAATGCATATTGAATTTACGAATTTACTCCAATGAAACCTGCACAAATTTACATACATAAATATATATATGTACACAATGTATGTATGAGTAAGTTTTCCTGCTGGGTGATCTCGTGCAAAGACTCTTGCTGACAGCTTTCACTATACATATGCACATTGATACATATGTACATACATATATGTCTTTTGTTCGGATGTGTTTAATGCGATTGGATTACTTCCACTTAAGAGGAAGCTGACTGGCTTCCTTCACGTGTCTTGTTTGTGCCGCAATGACAAAATGCATTTTGCGCATTTGCAAGGCAAACAAATTGTGGAGTGTATTTTGCATACTCGAATATCGGCACAGTGGACTGTAGATGAATGTGTAAAATTATTATCAAAAATAAATGGTTGAAAGAAAGTTGAATTGTACACGTATGTGTGTGTAAATGTAACCGTGAAATTTTTTAAATGTATTTTGTATATTTGTTTTAGGATCTCCAACTTAAGGGCATAAAATGGGCATATTTTATGAATCTATTTTGACGTAACAAAAGAATGAATCTAAAATCTGTGAAATGGGTTTAATAATATAGGTTTCATGGTATAAATACAAAATTTTTCGTTTGAATTAATTTCAAAATTGCTGCTTTCCAGCATTTCTCTGAAGATGCCTTATTTTCTTATAGGTCCTTGGTCGAAGACGTAAACTCCTTAATTTTTGTTCTGGATCAAAAAATTATTTTTTTTCTATATAACAGTAAAAAATTATAATTTTCACTATAAACAACGACATGAAATTGTAGACTAAAAAAACTATGTAATATAAAAAAAATCCTACGTACGTCTTCCGAGAACGGTATTTCGAATGTATTGTCAAAATTCAATATAAAATATTAGTTTTGTAATTATATCATTGATCTAGCTACGCTTCTGTATGAATATATGGATATATGGGTATTTGAAGTTTAATTACTATAGCGGCTGCGTTATTCTTCAACAACTCATGGTGGGGCGTATCAAAAATTTGTCTCTTTCCGTTGATCAAAGTCGTTCTGAGAAATGAAAATATGAATACCACGCAGTAAGCCTAGGAGCGTGATCTAACATAGCCAGAACCTTCTCTATCTGATCTTCCAAATAGAGTAGAGGTCTCCTCTTTCCTTTGCTTCCACCGGCGGGCACTGCATCGAAAACTTACAAAGCTGGATTATTCCTATCTATGCGGACCACATGACCTAGCCAGCGCAGCCGCTGTTTCTGTATTCGCTGAACTATGTCAATGTCGCTCATCATTCCATCGGCTGCGGTATTCGCCGTTTCCAATTTGTAGTGAACCGTGAATCTCTCGAAAACTTCTAACGCCGACTCATCAGATTTTGACATCATTCCTGCTTCCACACCATATAACAGGACGGGAATGATGAGCGACTTGTAGAGTTCGGTCCTTGTTCGTCGAGAGAGGGTTTTACCTTTCAATTGTCTACTAATTACGAACTAGCACCTGTTGGGAAGGGTGATTCTGCGAGGTTGTTCAGCCAGTAATGTCAATACCATCGGCGTACGCCAGCAGCTCTACACTCTTATAGAAGAGTTTACCTTCTCTATTCAGCTCTGCAAATCTGATGTAGAAACATAGTAAAAGCCTGGACTTGCTTGAACATGGATTTAGGGTAGATAAGACTAGCGATATTACTCGAGAGTTGTCTTTTATATTTCACTTCGAGAGAAATGTTAATAAATGCGACAGCGGTGCTTCGAAGCACGTCTATGATATGGTGGCATGTGGTGAATCGTGAATTTACGAGTAAGAGCAGTCGACTGTATAGATGTTTAAAGATGAACCGAATCTAACAAAAATCGTTCGGGCTGAAAGCACTTCCAAACAAATAGTTGCCTGATTTTTCGTAAAAATTGGAAATGTCACAACAACGCATGACAGTAAATCCTCATTTCTTTGTCAGTTGTCTTTCCAAAAGAGCAGAGCACCAACTGTTGCATACGGATCACTCTTCACCACGACAATGCGTGCTCTCACACATCGACTGATTCGGTTGCAGTTTTGAGCACTCCAAGAACCGATCTGATGAGTCGTACACCGTATATTTCTGAGTTAGCACCAGATAGACTAAACCCAAACTATAAAAGGCAACTCCGATTCTACTCTTATTGTTTCTTAAATATTTCTTATCAGTTCTAATGCGATGAAGTTGATGCCGTTCATAAGCTATGTATGTTATTTGCTTTCAGCCATTTTAAATTAGATTCTTGCTAAAATCTTCAGTGAAAAAGTCGCTTAAAACCTATAAATATACATAAAATGAATAAACATATTTTTAGAATATATTTTTTATTTTTTTATTTTCAATAGACTCATTTGCGGTTCATACTTGAGCAAATAATAATTAAAAATTAAATATCGAAAACGAAAAATATCTGTTAAGGGCTTCAGATTCGTTTCTCAGCTTATAAATTGTTTTTATATTAAATACTGCTATTGGGAGGGCTCGGGTTCAAATCCTGGTGCGAACAGCATCTAGAAGTTATAGAAAATTAATTTAAATAAAAAATTAAGTTGAATTTTCAAGCCCTCCGAGTGTATTTCTGATATGAAGCCTCCTCTGCCACAGTTCCCCATTAAAAACAATCAACTGGAGGTGGCTTGCTATAAACTGTTAGTCCAACCATTTGTTGGAAAAACCTCAAGACGCAAACCTACGAATTGAAAAAAAAAAACTCGGCCGAAAATCAGTTCAGCGGTAACAAAGCGCTAAAAATATAACTATTGGATAAAGGATGGTACATCTTCTATAAAAATATAAAAAATATAAAAATTTTGTTAAGCAAATTTTTAAAAAATTTAATTGTGTTTTTGTAAAAAAAACTTCTAAAAATCAAATTTTGGCATTTATTTATTTACCTTCGTCAGAATTTTAGTTTCTGATATTGATTAAAACACATTTTTTTTTTGCACTTCGGATGTGCTGTATTTACGTTCTATTGCTGGCACAGGCGCCACCGGAAGTGACGTCACAATGTCGGATTTATATAGCAATTATTTTTCTTTGAAAATTTTAAAAATTATTTTTGAAAATTTCCATTTTTGAGATAGTAAATAGCCTATATAAAATATGTTTTCTTCTTAAAAAGAAAACTGGGGACAGAC